GAGGTGACCGAAGGTAGCCTGAGATGGGAGGTTGGCGGTTGAAGAATAGGGTTAGGTTGAGAGAGTTTGAGAGTAGAGAGGATTTTAGGGCGGCGGGGTTGGTCGTGAAAATGAATTAGTTTTTGGGTGTATAGTTTGGTTTAATTAGGAAATGAGAGATCTGGACCGTTGATCAAAATGATCAACGACCAGGATCTAACAAGAGCCGGGTTGGGTAGGTGTATTTGGGGCCTGGGTCGGGTAATTTAATTAGAAATTGGGCTGGGGGTTCAATTTAGGCTGTGTTTGAAATGGCCATTTGGCTATAATTTCAATTTTCCCCTATTTAATTTATAATAAATAATAAGTAATTCCTGGAAAATAATTTAATGTGCCAAAATGTAAAATATATAATTAACATTTTAAAAATATAGGGACCAATTTTATGCATATAAAATATAATTATACATTAAAAGGGCTAACATTGCAATTATATGCAATTTAGCTTAAACAATACTAAATGTAATTATAAAAATACATGAAAAATATATTAATCATATTTCGACATAAGTATAGAGATTAAATGAATAAATCATCATAATAATAATTTGGAAAATAATTATTGGGGTTTTATGGATAAAAAAGGGAGAAAATAAATCAATTTAAACCCTTAAAATTACGAAAAAAAATAATAAAAACCTTGTGCATGCTTATATATGCTATTTCGAAGGTATTTTTGCATATTTAAAATATATAGGGAAAAATTAGGTATCAAGAGTGACATCCAAGATTTTCTGGACACACTAGTCCAAGCCTTCAACCCTAGGTGGAACCCATCGACTTGCTGAAACAAGCGAAAGAAGGAGGGTCAATAAGGATATGAGAAAATTTCTAATGAAAGAAATATTAAACAAGGAGCTTATGAGTGTGGTTCCATGAGTCCGGAAAGGATGAAGTCATTGCCGGAATGATATCATTGGTGGTAACTACAACGAACCGTTTCATCCACCCACGATCGTTGTCATCATCCATGCTAGATAATAGAGCATGGTGGCCGCGTTTGCTAAAGTTTATCATTCCACCGCGGAAGATTTTGGGGGAATAGAGGTTCATCACATGAGATGGGGATAGCTCCTCTCACGTTTCTTGCCCCAAGCACCAAAGACAAGCAATCATCCTCCACACAGAAGAACTTACTTGAGCCAAACACACCTGGTAGTGGAGACAGAACTCCGTAATGATGGAGTCAAGCTCTTCACTCAGAGAAAACGCCCCTAAAGTAAAGGGATACGTGTAAAAGTATGTAAAAACCCTCCTTGGATAGGGTTACCTGCTCCGCCAGATCAGGAGCGATAATGTCTAAATCCTGGCAATGACAATCTTCCTTCACAGCAGGAATACTGGAAGGACCGATGGAAGAAGGGTATCTGCCAACGGCCCATGTACGTGGGTTAGTAGAAGAAAAATTTTCTTCGAAATCTTTGGTGGTAATCAGGTTCTTTGGGATGATGGTACTCACCGTAGGGGGGAGCGGCATCATCAGCTTTGCCTTTATTCTTTGAAGAACTAGGTTTTCTTGAAGAGGAGGTCATTTCTTATTAGAGAAAGAGTGTTTTCTCTCAAAGAAGGAAGTTAAAGAAAGGTTGAAGTCGAAAGATGAGTTGAGTAGAGAAAGTCGTAGAAAATTCAAAGTGTTATGAAGTGAAAATTAAGGAAGTTGATGTGTATAATTAAAGGTTTAGGCAGCTAAACTCGTGTCCATAATTACCTCGATTGCTAGCAAATGTTATGCTGAATCGTGGGATGACGCATGTTCGAGGCATTAAATACGAAGAGACGTGCGCCTAATCAACCGTCAGAAGCGTTACAGAAGGGGTCAATGAAATTCCCGCCAAAAAAATATTTCTACCAACTTTCCGGTGACACAAAGTTATGCCACCGGACAGCAAGGGGGCTATCTGTATGTGGTAAAATATGATCGCATGAGAAAGTGACACATGGAGTCGAAGTTAGAGGATGGCTGAAACCGAAGGCAACGATTTCGTCTGTTATCGGAAAAGAATGGTACTCGTAAAGATGAAATAAATGCCTATCACCCGATAGCATTTAATGCAAAATATTCTACATCAGTTAGTACACTACCCATTACAAAAGAATATAGCATTCATGCCCGCCATTACACAATCTTCAATGGCCCTCATAATTGACATTAAAGAGGGGCTTGATCCTAGGACCTTGTTCCCTAGGTGCAGCTATAAAAAATGAGCTCAATTATCATTGTAAAGGACACGAATTTTTTGACAAACTTATGCTATAATATGTTCAAAGTTTTATACAATTTTATCTTTTAGCTTTTTGATTCTATTGTTGTTGTACTCGGAAGCCCTGCTCCAGGAACTACTGTTTCAGTTGTTTCATTTCATCTCAAGGCTAAGTATTGCATATTATTTCAATTCTTCTACCATTTCAAGATCGAATTAATTCACTTGTTTATAAACCACGTATAATTCAACTGTACCGTTTAGATGAATACACACCTCATAGATTCTGGGTTTCCAAGTATCACATAACCCAATATTTCGAGGTCGAGCATTCTATTTACATATATTCATATGTATATGTATGCGTTTGCGTGTGCAAAAAAACATGTGTAAGTAGTGTTTGATATATATTACTCCCCCCGTTCCCATTTATGTGAACCTGTTTAACTGGGCACGGAGTTTAGGAAAAATAAAGACTTTTGGAATTTGTGGTCCTAAACAAGTTAAAAAGGGGCCCAGAGTATTTGTTTGGTTATAAAAGCTTCTCATTAAGGGTAGAATTGTATGTTTAAGCTAAATTGTTTCCAAATTTAGAATTGGGTAATTCTTTTTGGAACGAACTAAAAAGAAAATAGGTTCACATAAACTGGAACAGAGGAGTACTCATTCAATTTAAAACTCATAACCTCTTAATTCTAAATCCGCCACGGCAAGTTCCACAGTTTTATTTTAGAATTACTCTTTAAATTTAAAACTGATAACCTCTTACTATTTCCGAATTTGCCAGTTAATGTTCCACAGCATTTCCTGAGTGCCATGTGGTATTTATTGTTGATGGGCCTCTTCTTGTTTGATATGAGAAGTGTAGAGAATCAATGTCGTCACAAGTCACAACACATTTGAAAATTTAAAGAAAGAGGTAGTGGTGTGATAGTAATTTAATGTCATGACCAAAAAAAAAAAAAAAAGTAATTTAATGTCATTAATTGCCTTTGCTGAGTCTAGAATTATAGCCCTTCTCTGAATCCAACCGTCACCATATGTTTCTCGTAGCTGAACTTTGCGTTATTATACTATGTCCTACTTCTTTCTGTTCATAATAAGTAATCAGTTTGCTTTAGGCACACACATTAAAGAAATATTAAATTCTAGATAAAAATAATTAGTGTGATTAAACTACCCTTAATTATATATTACAGCATAATTTACTGTGAGGATAAAAGACTTTTAGGGATGTGTACATAAGGGTAATTTTGGATCAACAAATTGAATTTTTTCTTGATTATATAAATAGACACTTATTTTGAACCAAAATAAAAAAGCAAATTACTCCCTCCGGTCCACAATAACTTCTTTGAAAATACCAAGATTGATAAAGCACAAACAACAAATAATATTGATCATTTTAAGAAGAATAAAAAAAAGTAAACCAAAAAATCTTTAAGAACATATTTTTGTTCTCTAAATATCTCCTTTTTAAGGTTTAAGCTTTACAATTTATCGTTGAAATTTATCAGGATCAAAACTTTAAAAAAAAAGTTAAAACAAAAGCTCCTTTTTAGAGAATGTTTTCCTTCTTACTTTGAAAGTTTATCCATTAGTTTAAGGTGATCAAAACAAATTTTAAAAACAAAAATAAAAAAGGTAGGACAAAAGCACTTATATCAAAAGTGTCTCCCTTTTTGTTGTATTTATTTTGTTTGAAATTTAGAGGATGCAAAATTAATCAACATTAGGTGCTCTTTGTTAGATGGCTTGCATATTTATTTATAAAAGATCAAAAAATCTATTTGGTTTCAGAGGCGGCTCAACACTACATGTAGCCTAAAGCAAAAATTTAAAAAGAGATCTCAAAAGAAATTTTAGATTAAAAAATGCTTTTTCATATCTAATCCTTTGATAATATCATTAGCTTAAGATTGAATAATTGTCTAAAAAGCACTTAAAGAATAGAAGAAGATTCTACAAAATCATAGTTATAAACAAAATTGATTCAAGTTGAAGTGAGTTAGACAAAAATTAAGAAGTTGAGCCTATCCACCATGTATGAGATAACAAAAAAGAATAATAAAAAGTAGGAAGTAAATGCAAATTTAATAATCTACAATTTTTAGTACAAATTTTAAAAATTGACAACATAATTAAAACTAATTTATTTATCACTAATAATAAATACATAATTATTTATACTATATATCATTTAAGTAAATTTGGGGCCTTAACTTTTTGGGGGCCTAAAGCCACTGCTTTAGTGGCTTTAGGGTTGAGCCGCCACTGTTTGGTTTATACGTTGAAACTTTCATATTTGCTGCACATCAATTGACAAAATTTGTAAGATAACGAAGAGGAAATCCGAGCTCAGTGTGAGCAACAATGGAGGTTTACTTCGAGAGAAAGAGAGAAGTGGATGAACATTCTAGATACAGAAGAAGCTTGATTCTTTTATTTCACTTTTTCATCCCAAATGAAATACAGAGTATATGTTCTATTTATTGAACTATACAATACATGTATGAATACAATTGAGGAATACAAAAAATGAATACAAAGAATATAAATAATCTCAACACCCCCCCTCAAGTTGGAGGGGAGGACCTCACATCCAACTTGCCAAGAAGGCCGGCATGCTTGATCCCTGTTAATGACTTAGTCAGAATATCAGCTAATTGGTTATTGGTGGAGACATGATGAAGTGAGATGAGCCCTTCTTGTAGTTGATCTCTCACAAAATGACAATCTACTTCGATATGCTTCGTGCGTTCATGGAATACAGGTATTTTTCGCAATTATGTAAGGCAGCTTGGCTATCACAAAATATAGGTAATGGGCAAAGGCCAATAGGAATAGTAAGTTCAAGTCAGCAGTACTAGCTAGCCACACAAGCTCNCAAGTACATTTAGCATGAATATTCAGACTGTTGAGTTCTTCCCAAAGTTTCTTCATTTTTGTATAGTATCCAGTGATGTCCAGACTTCCTTGGCTCAGATCATTTATCTCCTTTTGTAATTGATACAATTTCGCCCCATTAGTCTGGTCGTATCTATCTTCTAGCTCTTGCCAAAGCTCTTTTGCATCGTTCACGTATTGTAAACTGTCAGCTAGATCCTTTGACAATGAATTTAAGATCCATGAGGTCACCATATCGTCGCATCGCTCCCATTGATCAAGGTCACTTGAATCAGAGGTCGGCTTCTTACACTTTTCGGTGATGAACCCCAACTTATTCTTCACAGAAAGTGCTCTAAGGATTCCTCTTCTCCATGATCTATACCTAGTTCCATCAAAAGCTATCGGAACTAGCATAGACCCAGCGCTCTCCGATGGATGCATGTAGAGTGGGCTCGTCGAATCTAGGGTTTTGTTCGCGACTGGGACCTCGTCTCCTCCGGCCATAATTCGAATTGACTACGATACAGTGGTTATTGATGAAGACAAATAGCTAGGAACAGTTGATTATTCAATCGATTCCACACAGGAACCCTAATTCCCAATAGCGAGCAACAGTGATGAATTTTTGACTTTGCGATTAGAAGGGCGAACAATTGAAAGTGAATAGAGCTTCGAGTCGTTGTCTAGCTCTGATACCATGACAAAATTTGTAAGATAACGAAGAGGAAATCCGAGCTCAGTGTGAGCAACAATGGAGGTTTACTTCGAGAGAAAGAGAGAAGTGGATGAACATTCTAGATACAGAAGAAGCTTGATTCTTTTATTTCACTTTTTCATCCCAAATGAAATACAGAGTATATGTTCTATTTATAGAACTATACAATACATATATGAATACAATTAAGGAATACAAAAAATGAAACAAAGAATATAAATAATCTCAACATCAATTCTCGATGTAACTTTTTTGAAGTTAAAACAGTTTGAATGTATTCGTACATATGTAAAAAGCCAGTTTTTCCTTCTTATTCAAATGGATTGTTGGCTTTGTCTATCTTTTGAATAGTTAATAATTCAAATAGAGGTGTCCTCCAAAAAAAAATTAATTCAAATAGAAATCAGTAATATCTATTATGTTTCTCTCTATTACTTGTTAGAAGTTAAAATTTCACCATGCGTTGAAAAATTCTTTTCCTCACTCGGCATAATTAATAAATATTATAGTCCTGTTGTTTTTTAATTTGTTTCCTTTTTGTTTTTATTTTAATTTAAGGAGCAAAGTGACCGCATAGAGCAAATACCTGGAGTACTGCCTGTAATCAAAGGAATAGATACGGATAAATATTCACAGCAACCTTGGAAGCCAAGCGCTACTCCTCTACCAATTCCAAAGAAATTCAAAATGCCCAAAATTCCAAAATACGATGGAACAACTGATCCACGAGACCACGTGACTGCATTCAGAACTGGCGTAAAAGGCAACGATTTGACCAAACAAGAAATTGAATCAGTATTGGTCAAAAAATTCGGTGAAACACTCACTAAGGGAGCATTAACATGGTATTCTCTTTTATCCAAAAATTCCATAAATTCTTTTGCTGAGCTTGCAGATTTATTTATCAAAGCACATTCTGGGGCTCAAAAAGTCGAAAAGAGAATGGAGGATATTTTCAAAATCAAACAAGGGGACTCCGAGTTGCTCAGAGAGTTCGTGAATAGGTTCTAGCGTGAAAGAATGACGTTACCACGTGTACCAGATAATTGGGCAGCAATAGCTTTCACTAGTAATTTGAATGAGAAAAGCTCAGAAGCCACGAGGCGACTCAAGGAAAGTCTTCGTGAATTCCCAGCAACGACATGGAATGACGTTTACAACAGGTATAGCACGAATTTAAGGATCGAAGAAGATATTATCTCACGATCTCAAAAAGAAGAAAAGGTGAGTTCAAGACGGGCGGAAACAGAAAAAAGGTCCGATAAAAACAGGTACGAACCATATATGGGCCCAGCTGGAAAATATTCACGATCAAAGCATGATCATTCAAGGTACGACCATAGATCTAGAAATAGAGAATCGGGCTCATCATCGAGGTATGGAAATGATCGTAACACACGAGACTCACGAGATGATGATAGAAACTTGAAGGCACGATTTGGCGGTTATAATTTTAATGTAAGCACTTCCGAGCTCGTAGCTGTTTTAAGAAGCATGGGTGATAAGGTGCGGCGGCCAAAAGAAATGAGGTCAAATCAAAACAGGGGCAATCCCGAACACTGGTGCGAATTTCACAACGGTCATGGTCACAAAACGGCAGATTGTAGGTTGCTACGGGGTGAAGTTGATCATCTGTTGAAGCAAGGATATCTCACTGAGTTATTCAGCGAGAAAGGAAAGCAAACATACATGAAGAATAGGTAGGAGCCCCCTAAACCGCCTTCTCCAAAAAGAACCGTTAATGTTATAAGCGGGGGCGAAGAAATCAATGGTGTGACGTATACGACAGCAAATAAAGTTTCCAAAGTCACCATTACCCACGGGAAGCGAGTGCGACATGTCTTAGAGGAAGAAAGCACTACGTTTGATGATGCAGATGCGGATGGCATATTGACTCCACATAACGATGCACTGGTAATATCTTTACTTGTACATGACACTAATGTGAAACGAGTTTTGATTGATCCAAGTAGCTCTGTGAATATTGTTCTGCTAAGAGTTCTACACGAGATGCAAGCTGAAGCTAAATTAGTACCCAAGGCGCATACTTTGTCTGGGTTCGACAATTCCAGCGTCGTGACAAAAGGTGAGGTAATACTTACTACATTCGCGGAAGGGGTTATCAAGGATACAAAGTTTCAGGTGGTAGAGATGGAGATGGCTTACAATATGATTCGCGGAAGACCATGGATCCACGAGATGGACGCCGTTCCGTCAACCTTACATCAAGTTATTAAATTTCCATCACCATGGGGAATATGTCAAATCTGTGGGGATCAACAGACATCCAGGAGCATCAACTCCGTAGCAGATCCAACTATGAGGAACGAAGAAAAATAGCAGTTACAGAATCCAGTTGAGGATAATGCAACACTAACCTCAACTGAACAAGAACGAACAGATGTAGACTCAAGGCCCGATTTCATTCAAGAACCAGAGGAAAATGAAAATATCAAAATAACGATTGAAGATCTGGAGGCTGTGGTATTATTCACACAATGGCCTGAAAGGAAAGTCTACGTAGGAGCCAATCTAAGCCAGGACATGAAAGGTAAATTGATTGAGTTTTTGAAACTAACGTAGATTGTTTTGCTTGGTCCCATTCTGATATGACAGGAATACCACCGGAAGTAATGACTCACAAGTTAAATGAAGACCCCTCATATCCACCTGTCAAACAAAAGAAGAGAAAGCAAGGAGCTTTCAAAAATCAGGTGATTCAAGAAGAGGTCCAAATTCCATCACCACTGGGAATATGTCAAATCCGTGGGGATCAACAGACATCCAGGAGCATCAACTCCGCAGCAGATTCAACTATGAGGAACGAAGAAAAATAGCAGTTACAGAATCCAGTTGAGGATACTGCAACACTAACCTCAACTGAACAAGAACGAACAGATGTAGACCCAAGGCCCGATTTCATTCAAGAACCAGAGGAAAATGAAAATATCAAAACAACGATTGAAGAGCTGGAGGCTGTGGTATTATTCACACAATGGCCTGAAAGGAAAGTCTATGTAGGAGCCAATCTAAGCCAGGACATGAAAGGTAAATTGATTGAATTTTTGAAAACTAACGTAGACTGTTTTGCTTGGTCCCATTCTGATATGACCGGAATACCACCGGAAGTAATGACTCACAAGTTAAATGAAGACCCCTCATATCCACCTGTCAAACAAAAGAAGAGAAAGCAAGGAGCTTTCAAAAATCAGGTGATTCAAGAAGAGGTCCAAAATTACTAAAAATTGGGTCTATCCGCGAGGTAAAGTATCCTAATTGGTTAGCCAATACTGTTGTGGTACCGAAAAAGAATGGAAAATGGCGAGTTTGTGTAGATTACACAGACCTTAACAAAGCTTGTCCTAAAGACTCTTTTCCATTACCACATATAGATCAACTAATTGATGCTACTGCAGGACATGAGTTGTTAAGCTTTTTAGATGCATATTCAGGTTATAACCAGATTAAAATGGATCCTTTAGATGAAGAAAAAACTTCATTTATAACATACAGGGGGACTTACTGCTATTAAGTGATTCCTTTTGGTCTCAAAAATGCTGGTGCAACGTATCAAAGACTGGTGACCAAAATGTTCCAAGAACACTTGGGAAAAACTATGGAGGTTTACATAGACGATATGCTCGTTAAAACTCAACATTCAAGGGATCATATATCGCACTTATCAGATACGTTTCAAATTTTGCGAAAATTCAATATGAAATTAAACCCTGAGAAATGTGCATTCGGTATTGCATCAGGTAAGTTTTTAGGTTTTCTTGTTTCTAACCGTGGTATTGAGGTGAATCCAGCGCAGATTAAAGCCATTGAAGAAATCCCTGATATACTTACAAGTAAAAAAGAAGTGCAGAGGTTGACAGGAAGAATTGCAGCTTTGGGGAAATTTATTTCCAAATCATCAAAAAAGTACTTTAAATTCTTTTCATCTCTTAAAAAGCAAGATCAGTTCGAATGGACTGAGGAGTGTCAACAGGCGCTCACAAATTTGAAAACTTACCTGTCAAATCTGCCGTTGCTTGCAAAACCAAAGGTTGGAGAAAGATTGCTCATCTATCTTGCTGTGTCAAAAGTAGCAGTGAGTGCTGTCTTAGTTCGTGAAGACCAAGGTAAACAATCTCCAATTTATTATGTCAGCAAATCATTATTAGATGCGGAGACGCGGTATCCTCAATTAGAAAAACTTGCACTTGCACTAATCATGGCTTCAAGAAAACTAAGGCCTTACTTTCAATGTCACCCTATTGCCGTAGTAACTGCTTATCCATTACGCAATATATTACACAAACATGAGTTGTCTGGTAGATTAGCCAAATGGGCTATAGAATTAAGTGAATATGACATTACTTATCAGCCCAGAACCGCGATCAAATCTCAGGTGTTAGCAGATTTTTTGGCTGATTTTAGCCAAGAGATGCAATTAGAAGCAAAAAAAGAATTACAGGTGTTCAACGGGTCTAATCAAGGAATTTGGACCTTGTTTACTAATGGCTCATCTAATGTGAAGGGAGAAGATTTAGGAATTGTTTTGGTACCACCTACGGGTGAGTTTACATATTGAATTGATTGAAAGATGACGTGTCATGACACGAAGGCTGGTCAAAGAGTGATAGTAGACAAGGAGGCACGAGTTGCAACAGGTACGAGCAGAGGCACGAGCAGATATTCAAAAGACTCGATGCTCGTACCTATTTAAATCTAAAAGTCAAGAAGAATGAATCTGACAGCACACGAGAGTACATATACAGTATTTAATAAGCATTAAATACTGAAA